TTTCTCTACACACTGTATATATATATATATATATATATATATATATATATATATATATATATATAAGCACACAATAATTTGATCAAAAGTATGACAAAAATGTTACAAAGAGGTTTAAAATTTCTTTTGAACATAGTTAATTAAATCAGTGGTTCCCAACCCTGGTCCTGGAGGCACCCCAACACTGCATGTTTTGCATGTCTCCTTAATCAAACACACCTAATTCAGATCATCAGCTCATTAGTAGAGACTCCAAGACCTGAAATTGGTGTGTCAGAGAAAGGAGACATGCAAAATGTGCAGTGTTGGGGTGCCTCCAGAACCAGGGTTGGGAACCACTGCATTAAATAACTGAAAAAAGCTTTCCACAAAAAAATTGGATTATAATAAGAAATGTGTCTTGAGCATCAAATTTGCATATTACAACAATGCCTGAAGGATCATGTAACACTAAAGTAAAAATTCAGCTTTGCCATCACAGGAATAACATTTTAAAATATATTAAAACGGAAAACAGTTATTTTAAATTGTAATAATATTACATAATATTACAGTTTTTATTGAATTTTTGATCAATTAATGCAGTCTGGTATGCATAAGAGACTTTTCAAAAACATTAAAACAATTTTAACTGTAGTGTATGTAATTTTCAGTATTGCGATTTGAACAATAAATAATTTTTAAAATAAAGAAAAACTGCAAACTTTTTATATCTTAAACATACTTTTTCCACACCCTTGTAGCTTGGCCTTAAGTAAGCATGTTCCATCAGTTGGACAGAATATTCCGTGACCGGTAGTGAGGAAAAGTCAGGTGTTCCCTGCTTATCATATCCTGCTGTCAAGAAAATGACGAGATGAGAATCCACCCTGTGCTTGCGTTTCCTAGGACATACAGTACATGATGCAACAAACAGGAAGTCATCACTCATGCTGTTAATGCAGGACAAAGATCTGCTGAAAACATTATGTACTGTCTCCTTTGGGACTGCCAGTTTTTAATATGATTACCAATATGTTTTTTCATTCTGTACATCAATCTGACCTGTCTTTCACATTTCTAGACACAGACAGGCTTGGAATGGGGAAATTAAGGGAACATTATTACTTGTATAATGTAATTTTGTTTTGTGAATTAACATTGTGAACTGCCATAATGAATAATTGTATGAAAATTGCACTGTTTAAAAGTCATAATAATAATAATAATAAATATGTATAAAACTAAAAAAATTACCAACCAAGAAGCCAGAAGCTTTTATTTTTTTTGAAGTAAAAAGAGCAGAGTAAAAAGAGTATTTTAATCTGGAATAAATTAGTCAAGATGTAACAACAAGACTCAAACAGAAAACCCGAATACAAAGGACTTTTAAATGAGTTAGATCTTTATTAAGTTGAATAATGTCCACCTTTCTGAACAGTAGTGTCTCACATAGTCTGTCCACACTGGTTAAAACACAATGAGCAACAAGCACACATACACAGACTACTTCACAATACATTTGCAAACCCAATTGCACCCATATACATGTACATACTTGGTCAAACGCACAAATGCACAACCCTACATCATGGCCACACACACACACACACAAAAAAAAATCTGATGTGCAAACATTATGAATCTGGATTTTTTCATTTGAGACTCACATCAAACTGTGCATGGAGCATTAATGAAAGTCTTTGAAGAATGCCAGTTTATTTTTATGAGCATGTAATGGTATTGTAGAATACGACATCTCTAGTGTCACAAATCTGATTGAGGCGGGTGTGTCTCAAGGCACCGAGACAGCTTATAGTTTTAATTGATTGATTAAACAGGCTTAGAGGTTTAGTTAGATATCAGTGGCGATATTTCACATAAGCAAATTGGCATCCAGATCAAAGCAGATCAGATTTAAAGGAACAGTATACCAAAAAGTAAAAATCCTGTCGTCCTTTAGTTGTGTCCAAATTAGTAATTTTTTTTCTTAAAAAAAGGGATAGTCCACCCAAAAATGTCACCTCACTCTCATGTCGTTCCATTTCTTTTTTCTGCCGAACACAGATGAATATTTTTCAAGAACGTTGATAACCAAACCAATTTGCTTCCCATTGATTTACATTGCATTTTTTGTCCATACAATGGAACCGAAACGGTTTAGTTACCAACATTCTTCAAAACATCTTCTTTTGTGTTCTGCAGAAAGTCATACAGGTTTGAAACCACATGAGGGTGAGTAAATGACAGATTTGTCATTTTTGGGTGAACTGTCAATGACACCAAACGTCAGTATGTCTTGTAACTGATCATGAGAAGCCAAATTACAATATGTACATGACAAGTTTCAGCAAATAATCATTTAAATTTGAGCTTTTTCTTTCCACAATGCTATCACATGGCTTCAGAAGACTTGGAATATAGTATATAAGTCATATCTAACTACTTTTATGGTAATTTTTTGAGCTTGTATAGAAAAGAGAAGTGTGACTATTTTGCTAAAAATCTCCTTTTTTATCAACCATTTGAAATGACATGAGGGTGAGTAAACAGTGACAGAAGTGTAATTTTTTGAGTAAACTACCCCTTTAAAAATCATTTAGTTTAGTGCATGAAATTCTATCAATTCACGTTCAGATCCTAAAAATCTGCATGAGATAGCTGCATGAGATAGTTCTAGATAACTGCTTGGCAAGGGGTGGATATAGAGGTAAAGAGTTCATTAAATCATTAAATGCTGATATAATATGACTAAATACATATTTAGACCTAAAGCCACTGCTCTTTCAATGAGCATGTGAACACAGAAGCGCTCAGAAAGAGCTCACATCACTTGAATAAAGCTGTTTTGCGGCATCATTCTTTTTAATTCTTTGGAAATCACACGGGAATTATATAAACACTACTATTACCCTAGTTAGTTTAGACATGTTAGGCATTAACATTTACAGTAGACTACTGACAAGGATACTCTACGCGTCCATCAAGAATACTAAACACTGAATCTTCTAACGTGACGGCTATACAGTTTTAACAGTCTCTTGGTCAGGCTAGAAAGGACTCGCATTCATTAAAGATGCTGCCTTAACGAGAAGAGAATATAGTTCTTGCTAGATTTTAACAATAGAATACAACTGATACAAAGATTTAGAATAAAGATTCATGTTTTTCTGCATTAATTAATGTCTCGCCCCTCCTGAGACACAGATCAGTCTGATATACACTACTGTTTAAAAGTTTGGGGTCAGTGATATTATGATTTCTAAAGGATCACGTGACATGGAAGACGGCTGGGAACAGAAGTAACGGCTTCTGAAAATTCTGATTTTCCATCACAGTAATAAATTACATTTCAAAATAGATTAAATTGGAAAATAGTTGTCTTGAATTGTAATATTATTTCATAATATTACTGTTTTCACTATACTTTTGATCAAAATAAATGCAGTCTTAGCAACGTATTGACTCTAAAATTTGAACAGTAGTTTAAATTGAGTGTGAAAGTGAAATACATTTGTGAAAGAATTTTTGCGTTTCCTAACCAGACACAATGCAAAAAGTAATCATCTGAACACAAAACAGCTATGCAACGTGACACAACGACAACCAATCAGAAGATAATGTTTAATGTAATTACCTGAAGTAGATTTTTTAAACCAATGAGATTTCACTGTGGGAAAGGCTAGCAAGCAAATTGTCACAGAAACTTAAATCATGCGATCGACAAAATGTACTGTTTTACATTTAATATCTTTTATCGCAACATGTCTGGTTAGGACAGTGTCCTACAGCCGAACAGATGAAATTGAAATGATGGCATAAAAATACGACTTAAAATCTGAAAGCACACATAAAACATTTTTAAACACTGCAGATAGCACAATTTGTTCATGAAAAATAAAACTAAACTAAACTAAAAATGACAAACACAGGTCAAAAGAGTTGAGGTGGGTAATTTTCAAATCCATTCTTGCTAGTCGTCCAGCCATCAATAATTCAGCTGCAACCTAAATTCAAACTTTATGCTTTCCCAAAATTGATCCCAATTCCAAAATTCCAAAATTCCAAATCTTACTCTTGAACCTTTCTTTTGGAGGGCGGCACAAGATGAGCGGGCAGTTCAAAACACTGCAGATAGCACAATTTGTTCATGAAAAATAAAACTAAACTAAACTAAAAATGACAAACACAGGTCAAAAGAGTTGAGGTGGGTAATTTTCAAATCCATTCTTGCTAGTCGTCCAGCCATCAATAATTCAGCTGCAACCTAAATTCAAACTTTATGCTTTCCCAAAATTGATCCCAATTCCAAAACAATCTTACTCTTGAACCTTTCTTTTGGAGGGCGGCACAAGATGAGCGGGCAGTTCGCTTGGAAGCTCGTGACCTTCTAGTTTGACCTTGATCAGGTGATTGGCCAAGGCAAACTCCTCGTCATCGAGCATCCCATCGTTATCAATGTCAGCCAGTTTCCAGATCTTACCCAGCACAGTGTTTGGCAGCTTGGACTTTACCATTTCCTTCTTGGCATTGGCTCCAGTCACTTTTCCATTGACGGGTGAGAGAGTGTAGAAGATTTCATCATACATAGGTTTGTCACGTGCCACCACCCATTCAACTTCATCAATGCCCTCGCCGGCTCCCTCGCCATATCCGTGTCCGAACGGCCCATTCATGGTTCCCTCGAAGGCACCGCCCTTCACCACCTGGTTGGGGTGCTGCGTCTCCTCCTGGCGCACCAGAACCATAAGCTGGGCAATGTCGTGGGCCAGCATGTCATCCACGGTGTCCAAAAGCTTCATTTTCAGAGGGTGAAACTTGTTCAGATCTTGTGCTTGAAGCTGATCCTATTCAGTGGGAAAGAAAGCAAGAAAAAACACTGTATGATATACCAAAAGATCCTGTCAACATCTGTTGATATTTCCAGGGTTAACCACCTCCACTCCCTTCACATACTCTGTTCCAGACAGGCTGTTGATGCTTGATGCTTTGGCTTCTTTTGGAAATAGTTTCATTGGCGGAGAAGAAACATACAAACTAGCCAAACTTTGTCTGAAACGCAAATTACTCAATATTCATTTGTTTATAGAACTGTTGTATAAAAGTAACAGTAATCTAAACAACATTTTTACTCAAGTGTTTTTTTTACTATAGAATAGACACATCATCAGGTTTGGAGAGGTCCACCCAAAGCTGAAATTTATATAGCTGTTTGTTGATGTAAAAAATGTGGGACAAATTATGCTGATTTTGAATGTGCACTCAAAGACACTTTAGAAGTCCCAGTGAAGCATTCTTGAGTCAGCCTCAATCTTTGTTGGCTAAATTGACCTTACCTGCATTTTCTTAAGATTAGGGAAGTCTCCCGGGGAAATCTGGTGCTCCCTCTCAATGCGGCTGTAGATCTCGCCCAAGCTGTTAATCAGCTCCTTCTTTTTGTTGTCCTTCCCAAAGACTGAGGGCATGTCTTTTTTCAAGGAGCTAATGATGTATGCATGGACCTGTGAGAGCACAAAAGCTCCTTTTAAGTTTATAGAGCAAAAATCAGTACATCACAATTACAAAGAGCATGTCTGGGTTGTATTTATCACAAAAATAAAATAAACATTTTGTATAAATAACCTTTGTGAGTCACTCAAATGCTATAATAAATAAAATTCCTTATTTCATAAATAAATAAAATTTTATTGTGACATTTTCACAATTAACATTTATATATATATATATATATATATATATATATATATATATATATATATATATATATATATATGTGTGTGTGTATATATATATATATATGTGTGTGTGTGTGTGTGTATATATATATATATATATATATAAAACATTGTCTGGAATACATGGTTTTGATTGGTCAATCTAGTTGCCATGCTGTAATTTTTGCATGTGAATTCTATATGTGAATGTGGTTAATTACAGTGAAAAAAGATCCTAAAACAGGGTTAATTTTTTGGGATGTAATATGACCTGAACATGTTTTTGACAGGCTGCTTTAGATTCTATACTCTTTATTGGTTTTCTAACCGACAACAAATTGAGACATTGAATATAAAAAGAAAAATCATTATGAAACTGGATAGTAGCAAGAATACACAAGCTACTAAATAAATCATCGTCTGCTTGGCCCCCGGGCAGAAGGAAGGTGACTGCATAAATGATGACAGGAGGGGAAGCACATCTGTATGATCAGGGTGAGGGACAGGGAGAGAACTTAAATGTTCTTTTTCAATGCATCCAGCTGGATCTGGAGATTTAAATTGAGTTTGACAAGTGACCAGCACTGACAGTCCCCAACACTTCCTCTTCCAGAGGGGGTCTCTATAGCCCATGTGTTTTGAGCAACGTTTGTACTGATGGGGATAATAAAGGATTTCAGACATAAATGAAACGACATCAGAGTGTTTCAGTTTCCTTATAAATGACAGCTTTATGTTTGACTACCTATGTTATTGTTCTTTTATACAGTGGGTATAGAAAAGAATCACCCCCCCCCCCTTTAAAATAATCACATTTTGTTGCTTTGCCGCCTGAAATGAAGATTGACACAGTGTTTGTTTTATCCAGCTGTACTGTATTTACTCAGTGCAACTTATAACATCCAAGCCCCTGTTACTCTGTTCCACTATTACCCCCTGTCCACTGCCCCTGCATGACAACATGTTTGAGTGAACTTCCTTTAGACGTGATATTTTATATTAAGTAATCAATGTAAGGAAGACTGTAAGATCACTCAAGGTTATTTATAACCATGTCTTTATGAGGAATGACATTATGAGACATTATGATCCCTCAGTATCTTTCAGCACATTTAACAATCCCCACTAATCATCTGACCTCTGAGTCAAAGTCAAGGGCTTTCTTTGCATTTTCTAGTCAAGTTTTTCAGATGTAGCCAATTACCTGCACAACCAGTATCTGCGGATCTTGTCCTCATGGTTCTTGAGGGCCTTGATGACCTCCGAGAACTCGTCTGAGATGTCGAGCTTATGGGCGTCGAACAGCAGAATGATGCGGTCCACACGTTCGGCGAACCACTCCAACACCGCAGCGAAGTCATAGCCTGAAGGAGAGATTGGAAAAGAGATTGATATCCTGTCCAGTATTTACAGTTCACAAAGCTTTCGCACCGGATGGATGCTTGCACGAGAGCAGAGAGGCAGCCAGCCAATCAGAACGGGCAAAATTACCTTGTTAGACTTGGCGCTCAACAGTATCGTGTAATCGCAGCCTCTGCAATTGAAAAATCAAACATTTTCATATCGCGATATTATTGCAAATGCAATTAATCGTTCAGTCCTAGTTTCCACTCAAATATTATGCAGCACAACTGTTTCAATAACAATAAGAAATGTTTCTTAATCTGCAAATTAGACTAAATCGAATGATTTCTGAAGATCAAGTGACACTGAAGACTGGAGTAATGGTTGCTGAAAAATTCTGCTTTGCCATAATGGGAATAAATTATATTTTAAAATATAATAAAATAAATAGAAAAGAGTTATTTTAATTCATAATATTTCACAATATTACTGTATGTACTGTATTTATGATCAAATAAATCCAGCATTTGTGAGGATCAGAGACTAAAAACATAAAAAAAAAACTTTCAACGACAGTGTAAATATTTCTGTACATGTACAATGGGGCCCAAAAGTCTAGAAGAAGTGAAAATGCATGGATTTTGTACTTTAGATACATTATCCCATTATAAATTATATTACTAGCCTAAAAATATTTAGTAGGTAAAACTGGAAAAGTTCAGAATTATAATCCCTATTTTAAACATAAAATTTTTTTTTTTTTGCATCAAATAGTGATCATGAATGGTCTGTGGGTGTGCCGTCTGGGACCAAGTCTGAGTAGAAACAGCATCTAATTACAGGCACACAGCGAGTATAAACATAAACACATGCACCTAGCTGAATACGCCTGGCCAAATGCTCCTTAGAAAGAGAACTCACAGAGCAATGCAGGAACAATAGATCTTATCTTACTTAAAGGAACACTATCTTTTCTTACTGATTTTATTCAGTGCATGCCTATAAACCAGTCTGGGGAAAAAACAAGATTAACTGCCTATAGCCATGAATATGAGCGAGAAAGGTCCTCCCTATAATCTCATGTGACTAAAGAAATTCCACAGACCTGCTTGACATATTAAAAAAACTGAGGACGCATGACAGACATTTTCTCATTATGTCCTGCTAAATACAACCATCACACTGATGTGTAAATGAGAATTTTGGAAAGTAAAAAGGGAGGAGAAACAAAGAAGACAGCTGGAATGGGAATTTAACAAATCTGGTTCTGACTCTTTAAGATCAGCATGAAATGAAAATTCACTCTATTTTGTAAATGCATGTTATATATCTCATTGTTAACATTAATTAAGCTTGCATTACTTCTTGGGTGCACTGGTCTTTTTGACTAATTCATTCAAAATTAGTCATTTCGTTTGCAAATTGGACAAGGATTACACAACAGAAACTTTCATGTTCAATTCACAATTTAGCTAAAACAATTTCATTTGTAAATTCAGCAACTCGTGTCAGCTGCCACATAGCATTAATTTCATTAACGAAAACTATGATGAAAAATGTTCGTTGATGAGCTTTTTTCCCATGACTAAAACGAGGCGATGACGAGACGGCAATAAGGTCAATGAATGATAACTGTGCCTATATGAACATGCGATATCGTTGATGATAAAAGACGAGACTAAAATGTATTTTAAAAAATAAAAACTATACCAAAATCTCTTTTTATTTTCGTCAAAAAAAGGAGACAAAAAAAATATTATTGCGGACTGCTGTACATGCTTCAAGAGTTCAAATCCCCAAATAAAAGCTTCTCTGTTAAAAGGATAAATTTTCTGCCCAATGTTTTGCTTAATTTTTGCAATATGGTAACCATACACACACGCTCGTTCTTTATTATGGAAGCACCGATGATGATCTGAAAACACAGATAAACAATTAAGCTGGAGTTTAGCGATCTCCATGTGAGATGTTTGGCTTGAATGAAAGTGTCATTCAGATAGTCTGTGATCTTGACTATTTTGTTTGCGATTGTGTATTTGCTGAATAAATGCACTTACTCAACCGCTGTTGTTTTAATAGAGAAACATTGTTGCAATTTGTAATTATTGGAATTGCTATCAGGAATGTCACTGTTATAATATTTTTTGTTTGTTTTTACCAGGTTTCATAATGTAGACAGAGAGTGCATATCTAAGTCTTTGATATTAATTTATATATTAAATAGCCTATAATAAATCAGTACACTAGATGAGGTAAAATAAACAATGTGTAGGCTATGAGTCCACATTCTATTGATTTGTGCTTATTGGTGGAAGTACAATACATTTCTCAAATGACGACAATCATGCGATTATAATTTTAAGCTATTAATTTTAAATAATAAAAAAAAGAAAATTTATCACGTAAATACATGTAAATCTTTTCAAAATATATATTGTATCTGTGTGTATTTATATATACATAATAAATATACACAGAACACACACATATATTATGCAAACAAAAACTTTTATTTTGTATGCGTTTAATCCCGAATAATCGTTTGATAGCACTAATATATACAGTATATTATATATATATATATATATATATATATATATTACATATTTGTTCATTTTTTCCCTCTCAAATTCCAAAATTGTATTGAAATTTCATGGAACGTTATTTCAGTTGATATTCATGTGACATCATGACAAATATATATATATATAATTAGTTTAAACATTATACAGCATAACACAAATGTGACAAATGTTTTCATTGACTAAAACTAGATTAAAATGCTCAGACATTTAGTCGACTAAAACTTGACTAAACAAAAAACATGACTAAAGGTTGACTAAATAGGACAATAACTAAAAAGTACATTTGACACAGAACTAAGACTGACACGAATTTAAAAGACTAAGACTAAATGTGGACCTGGAGCCTGGTCTTAAGTCGCTGGGGTATATTTGAAGCAATAGCTAAAAATCAGTGGTGGGCCGTCAGGGCCAGCAAAGCCTTCTCTGCTGGCCTAAACACTATCAGAATCACTGATTTAGTTTTAATATATTTTTCCATGAATGTGTATTAAATTATTTCCAATAGTCTATTCTCTTCAGTTCATAGCTTTTCTCTTGGTTGCACTGCTTCCAGCAGTGTATGTTTATATTAGAGCTTTTATCCAATCATATTTCAGCAATCGTGTTGCCAGGGTCAAAGAAATCTGCCTTAAGGCCTTCAGAATCAACAGTGCAGGCGTCTGTTAGCTTAAATCAATGGCAATGAAACCGTTGCTTTAACCAATCAGATTTCGAGTTGGCAACACCAGGGCCATCTAGCTGGCTGACGATAACGTCAGCATTTTCTCGTTCTTTGATTGGATGGTCAGCGTACTAGCTAGCAAACAGCATCACTGTAAATCATTTTAGTAAAACTTTTATTACTGTTTCTCAGGTTTAGATTTTCAGTGCATTTTGAAAAAATATTTGCCTACTATATTTAGTCAATCTAAAAACAGTATTCCTAATGACTGCGAAAAACAACCACACACCTCCTCGGCACCGGCTCTGGCAGAGGCAGACCAGCGGCTGCGGGGAGATGAGAGTCACAGAGGTACGTTAAAACACACTTTTCTTCATCGTCTTGTGTGAATTATTTTAATGTTACTTGCTCACTTTCCTAGTAAAGCTGTGCTAACCAGTATTTTCCTCCCGCAGTGCGCTGGCAGACCGGCGGGGAGACTCGTGAAGACGAAATAAAGCAGTAAGATAACATTAAATTGTTAGGTCAACTTTAAAACACATGTAATCACCTTATTTGTTTAATAACAATGCTATCTGTAAGGTATAAATGCGTTTGAGTGAATAAATGTCTGTAAGAACATCGGCTGGACTGTATTTGTGTCATTTTGTTAGGTTAATGCTTCAGCTACAGATGATGTGTTGCGCAATTGTTAATTGGGTTTCTTTCTTTAATAATGGCATTCATTCTCGCTACATAAGATACCTGTCTGTTATGTAGTGCCCTGTTATACTGCATTACTGTGTAATATTTATGGTTTCTATAGCCGTGGCATCATTATGATGGTATGAAGAGATGGATTCATTCATGTAGGACGCCACTGAAGGCCTAGGTGTAAAATGCACGGCCCGCTACTGCTAAAAATACATTGTATGGGTCAAAATTATTGATTTTTCTTTTATGCCAAATAAAATCATTAGGATATTTAAGTAAAGATCATGTTCCATGAAGATATTTGGTAAATTTTTTACTGTAAATATATAAAAACTTAATTTTTGATTAGTAATATGCATTGCTAAGAACTTCATTTGGACAACTTTAAAGGCGATTTTCTCAATATTTTGATTTTTTTTGCAGCCTCAGATTCCAGATTTTCAAATAGTTGTATCTCGGCCAAATATTGGCCTATCCTAACAAACCATACATCAATGGAAAGCTTATTTATTCAGTTTCACAACATTTACCATTATGACTGGTTTTGTGGTCCAGGGTCACAAATTAAAAATGTCTGACAAAATTAACACTACTGCCACAGAACCAAATCTCATGAAAATCATTCTGTTCCAGTATATTAAAAAAAATTAACCAGCTTTCAATTCCCAACCCTAAAAGATAGACAGACGATGAGAGAAAGTTAAAGAGATAAACGTTGTAGCAGCACATGCTTAGAGCCAGTGTTCAAACAGGAAGAAAGAGTGCTAAATACTACAAGATTACTGTTGTAGAGAGTAGCAGAATGCAGTTTGAATGCATTAGTTGTCACGAAACTGCTTGCTCTTCTCTCATGCACTCATGTGTGAGAACACCCCAAATGACTTAACCCACAATTCAATGGAAACTTTGAAAGCTCACAAACAACATGTTCACTGCGATCAATAGCTCTTTAAAGCCAGAGATACGCAGCCATTATAGACTAGCACACACACCAATGTCACTTGGTCACTGTAGCATTCTAGTTTTTGAAATGAGTACCATTGCATAATGTATACCGATTCACATAATATAATAATAATTTGTAAACATTTTAGGCAATATTGAATGTATATACTAGTACTCCAGTGTGTATCTATTTGACGCACAGAAATTACACACTTACACTTTGTTTTCTACAGTGGCTCTAGTATCAGATGGTGACTAGTTTTACTGCCAAATTAAAGTGCTTACCTTCGGCCTTCGGTCACTTTTCTGTTTTGAATTTTTTTAAATCACAGCTTCATCGGAATGGTACAAAACTTGGTGACTTATGGCATTTAGAATGTGAACACACAAAAAAAATTGAGGGCTTGATTCGAGCAGGCTAAGTGGTCGTAAAAAAACAGTCACACTTTTGGTCTTCGGTCAAAAATGACCGACCACAGGAAATGAATGGGAAATTTACCAAACATTAACATTAACATCAACACAAAAATTCAGCGAATTGTGATTGTGTGAATTGCAATCTACAAATCTGCCACAATGCAGAAAAAAAGTACACAGCAATGATGGGGTGAAACTCTAAAACATCAAGAGTGCAAAACCAACACATCCATTCACACACACACACACACACACACACACACACACACGCTCACACATTTACACACACACACACACACAC